TAGATAGGCTTTAGGGATTCCCGGTTTACTTTAGTTTGTGTGTGGGAGTGGAGGATTTACAGTTTGGGGCTTGTGTGGGGAAAAGTGCTAAAGTCTGCTCCTCACGCTTGGCTTATGATATGCCCGCGGCTCCCCGCATGCTCTACCCGGCTCTTCAAATCCTTCACCATGAACCCAACCCCAAGCCGCAAAAGCCTATGCTCCTCCATTCCACGAAGGTCTGTCAATACTTGAAATCCCCGAACTCTAAGTAGTACTTTCCATGTTCTTTTCCATTATCCCAATATAACACCTATATAAACCCTATTATATTACACCCTATTATATTTCAGTAGCTTCCACCCTCCATTATCCGCATATAGACCCTATAAGCCCTATCATATTTTAATAGTTTCCATTTTCTTTTCCATTATCCCTTGGTGTGAGCAACTGCACCAAGACATCTGGCTACCATGGGCTCCCTGGTATATGGGCTCACAGCAGCTGAGGCCCTCATGAGGCTTTGGGTTAAGGCTTTAGGGTTTAGGGTTAAGGCTTTAGGGATTAGAACTTAGGGTTTAGGGGTTAGGGTTTAGGAATAAGAGTTTAGGGTTAGGTTTTAGTTTTTTGGGGGGAAGGGGTTTGGGGCTTCTTGGGAACTCTCAGGGCTTCTTGGACCTTATCAGGGCCTGTTAGGACCTAGGGTGCATATTGGAAAGAGTTCCTGAAAGTAAAGGCTCTTGTACCCACTCTAACGCAAAGGGTCCCAGAACGTTTAGGGTTTAGGGTTTAGATTTATAATTAAGGTTCACTGTTTAGGGCTTGGGGGTTTAAGCTTAGGGGATTGGGATTTACGGTCCAGGGCTTAGGTTAGGGACTAGGGTTACCTAGCGGGTCCAAGGGTCCCCCAATACTATTCGAGTTGTAGTGTTTGGGAAGCTCGATCATTTGCGTACTTGGACCCGCTGGGTAGCCCTAGTCCCTAAAGCCCTGGACCGAAAATCCTCATCCCCCTAACCCTAATCCTACAATACCTAAACAGAGAACCTTATAAATCTTAGACCCTCAACTTTTATACGCCTACAACCTGAAGGTGGTATTTCTAAACCCTAAACCCTAAACCCTAAACCGTGTGGTACTTGGACCCGCAGGGTTCGCCCTGTCAGTCGGTCCTCGTCCCTTGCAGCAAGGGCGGCTTTCTCTTGCCTCTCGAAGGCTGCTTTCGTCCCGGGTTTCAGGTTTATAGGTGGGGTTTAGGGTTTAGGGTTTAGAGGGGGGTTCACGAGTTTCGCGGATTTAGCAATGTAGCTGTAAGGCTCTAGGGTGTGTACTTTAGGCTTGAAGACATTTGCGAACCTTCGGGTAGGCAGTTCGAACCCCAAATCCTATAGGCTCAAGCAGCAAGAACCATTATCCCCTATAATATAACCCCTATATAAAGCAGTTTCCATTTTTCCATTATCCCCTATCTAACCCGAGAACCTAAGAATACAAACTACTTCATGATAGGGTTAGAATTATCGGGGTTATATACGGGATAAGAAAATGGAAGCTACTATATTTCAGTTTTACATAGGGGCTATAGTGTTTTGGGGTCTGTTTGGGGGCTCCCATGTGTGGAAACCCTATGGGTGTTGGAAAAGATAGCTCCTGCTGTGCATGGACGAAACCTCGCATCACCTAATACATTTCACGGATTCCGTTTTACGGGGTGGTATCATGGGCGCCAAAAGATTTTCTTCATCCAACGACCCACCGTAGGTCCCTAAACCCTCAAACCTATACCATCTGCATGAAGTTTCGGGTTTCGACACTCTTCCAAACTAACATGAAACCTGCAAAGAAGATATATGTTTCTTGAACACGGGTATGTGCCCCGGGGAATCCCGTGGGTATCTGGGGAATTATCATTGGTGCTGCCAGTCTGTTGAGAAGACCCCTACACAGCATTCCATGTGTGTATGCATTTTTTTTGTCTGGGGCTGGGTAGGTATGTTGCAAAACACCTGCGTCTTCTGTTACGCTATGTTTAAGGGACTATAGGATGTCACCTGGCCCTACCTTGGGTCCTTCTCTACATTTTGGGACCCTAGAAAAATGTAATGTAGTGCAACCCCTTGAAAACCGTATTATGACCCTAACCCTGTTGTAAGTATGCGTGGTATTTGGTGGTTAGGGTTCAGGGTTAGACCTCAAAGTGCCTACATAATGGCCCTTTTGGGTCCCAAGTGTCTACCTTAGACCTACACTCTAGGGTATGGAATTTTCTGAACATGCGGGAGGTACACCCTTGAACCACGCACGCCTAACGTAGGGCCGCAGCATTTGGATGGACCATTATTTAACACTAACACCTACTTGGAGGTCCATTGTACTTATAACCTGATTAGTAACTGTAGTTATAGGCCAATTATATCTAGGGTAACTGTAGTTCTGGAACTTGTATTTAGGTTATAACTACAGTTGCTAAGTAGCTATAGGTTCTAAGTATAATGAACCTCCAAGTAAACCCTGAACCCAAAACATATCCCGGACTTATGGCCATGAATCATTGTCCAACGACCTGCTGCTGAAAACACGATTTAGGGTCTTAGGTTAAGGGTTTAGGTTTTAGGGCTGCTAGAGTCTAGGATTTATGGTGGGCAGTGTCCAACGATATGGTTTATTCCCGTTATGCACACACGCATACCAGGTATTGTATTTCCCAAACGACCCTGAGCGCCTATATGGTAAAAAGTAGGGTCTCTACACTAGGTAGGACCCTTTGGTTTAAGTAGGCACAATGAACGGAATTGTGACCTTAGAGAAGAAGTATGATGGCTTCCCTTACAACCACCTTCTACACTACCCCCACGGCTCCTCCTTTATTAGGTTTACTAGGGCCAGTTAAGGCTAATTAAGGCGGAGCCTAGGGGGGGCGGTAGGAATCCATGAAACTAGCTCCTAAACTCTAAACCCTAAACTCTAAACCCCAGTCCTAAACCCCGAACCCTAAACCCTAAACCCTAAGAGCCTCTTCCACTTTTTGGAAAGTCGACGCATCTGGATCCATGTGAAGAGGGAGATGAGCCCCACCGTCTGGGTATAGGTTTAGGGTTTAGCGTTTAGGGTTTAGGGTAGGGACCTAGGGAACACACAATCTAGGGCTTATGTCGGGAATATAATATGGGACTTTCCCACAAATATGGGTACATTTTTGGGGGTCCCTATAATAAGGACTATCGTATATTGGGGTCTGTATTGGGAAACCCCCCTCTCCTTAATAATAGGGAATCTAACAGGGATCCTAATATTAAGGCCTTTAAAGGGAAGGGGATCTCCATTATTCAGAGCCACCAGAGACGCCCCGTCATCAGTCGACGTGGGTATCTTCAGCTTCAGCTAGGATTGTGTGTGCTTATATATGTAAGGAGATTTTTTATAAAATAGGTGTCAGGTCATTTGTGTCAGGTGTTAGAAAAACAGCCCAAAATATGCTTGGACATGAGGTTGGTGTTAGAAAAACAGCCCAAAATATGTTTGGACATGAGGTTGGTGTTAGAAAAAAACAAAAATATGCTTTGACATGAGGTTGCATCAAGGTTTTGTTGCTGTTGTTGTGGATGTTGGCAATTGAACCTTGCTTAGTTCCACAGGAATTTGCCAGACAAAAAAAGACAACAGCATACAGACACCAGCATAACATGTCACATAAGTGTCAAACAAACTTGCAAAATGCAAGCTTTACAGAAGATTTTCCATTGATATAACATTAAGCGCTGAAATCCCTGAGCCCTAAACCAACACCATGTGATGTATCAGCAAACTAAAATTCAAGAAGATGATAGCATGACATAATAATTATGCACTGAGAAATCACACTCAAAGTATTTGCCCTAGACCCCCAAACCATTGGACCCCTAAATCCTAAACCTGGAAACTAAATTTGAGATCTAAACCCTCAACCTTAACCTGAAGCCCCTTAAGCCTCAACCCCACACCATAAAACCCAACAACATTTGTAAGAATACAAGTAGCAGGAGTAGTAGCAGTACTCTTAGTAGTAGTCAGAACCCATGGCAATCCATGGTAGAGGAAAATGTAGCATGATTAATTAACATGATTCCCCATATTAAGTTATAGACTACTAAAAGTACTAGTAGTCACTGAAGTCTCAGGAGTTGCAGCTGTAGCAGCAAAAAATCAGTAACAGTAGCAACAATCATAGTTCAGCATCATATTGAAAACAGGAGGAGTTACATTGAAAGTAGTATGAAGAAATAGAAACCATGAGCAAGAAGCAATGTAGCAATAACAAAGTAACAGACAGGTCCTAGCAAAGTAAACTCATATTAATAGTGAAGAGGGTTGCTGGGGGTTACAATTAGAAGTTATAAGCTAAGAGCGCAAGGCGCTGGTAAAGACCCCATAAGGTTACTAAAAGCGCCAGGCGCTATTAAATGGAAACCCTGGCAGCTCTCACTGGGCAGCATCCATGGCTCAGCCATCTGCAGATCTCTAGTGTTCATGATGTTTGGCTGTCACTAGTATTTCTGGTTGATCAAAGACCATGTTGCAATGTCCAACTGTCAATGGATGGATTAATGAGGAACTGGATGGACATGTTCATTCAGCTTGAATGCTCAGCATTGAGAGGTATCAATTTGCTCCAGAAACTGAAAGCTGACACACATGTCTGTGAATTAATCAGGGGCTTGTGCAAAACAAAGCAGTTCACAAGCTTTCATCTTTCACACACACACCGTTGCACTCTTTAAGCGCTACGCGAGGACACCTCAAGCGTAACAAGTGAATCATCTGATGATGATCAAGATGATGATGTCAAAGGGCACAAAGCGCAGACTGCTGGAATGGCTTTTGAGGTACTGTCTGACTATATTGCGCTTTGAGCACCAATGCCGAAAGCGGAAACACTACTGGCCCAACAAGAAATCAGGACTTCGAGTGATTCCTCACTCCCATATCCCCACTAGGAGTCACGCTTCGGTGACCCTTTCATTTGGAAAAAGTCCCCAGCACCCTCACTCAGCAGTGACCTTGTAGGACTTGCCAACCGGCAACACGAGCTTCTCACCAAGGCCGATGTGCAGCATGGGCTTCACAGGGCTCAAGCCCTTGACGGTCCACCTGACCCACCAGACCAGCTTCAATGCTGGGGAGGCCTCCCAAATCTTCAGTGCCTCGCGCGCTGCAACATTGCTGGCTGTCACAGCTCCTCCCTCAGAGCCATTGTCCTCCTCACCAGCATTGGCATTCTCCTTCTTCGGCTTGTTGGCCCCTCCAGATGGGATGTAGGCCACGCAGTGAGTCGCAGAAAAGACAAAGGAGTTCGGATTGTCCTCTGGCACCTTGACGGTATGATAGCAAACGCTTGCATCCGGCTTCGTCTTGCGCTGCTGCTGCAGGGCATCACAGATCGTCATCACAGTGCCACTGACACACACCAAAGTATCCACGTTCTTGATGATGAATGGCACAGCCTTCTCATCCATTGTCTCATTGGCCTTCACAAGCTTGAAGCTTCCCCGGCCAAATCCAATGACAGGCGCTCCAGACTTCAATGTGAACTCGTGGTTCAACTGATTCACCAGGAATGCTCGATGGGCTGCTCGAAGCTGGAAGTTCAAGGCATCCTTAGGGGACAGCTTCACATCAAAAAGCAAGGCGCCCTCTACCTTGTCATTGTCCACCAGGAAGCTCGCATCCAAGACCTTGTCCTCCACAGCTGGAGTTGTCCTTTGCCTTTTGAGGGCTGGCTCCGGAGTTCCCTGCTCACCTGAGGCAGCTTCCTCAGCAACCTCGTAGGTCTTCAAGAACTCATCCAGCCAGGTCTGAAAACGGCTGCCAAACTCAGCATCCCCAGCCCATTTCTTCACGAGGGGAGCTGGGATCTGCAAAGCCTTCTTCTCATCATCACCCTTTGTGACTAGCAAGTTCATGTTGGGCAACGCGGGGAAGGGCTGCAGCAAGTCAGCCGGAATCTCTGCATTCGCCTTGGCGCCAGGCACAGAGAAGGTGCCAGCCTTCACCCTGACAACCAAATCTTCAAGCAAAGCAGCTTGGAGCCAGTCAGACTCCGACTGCTTCTCAGAGATGGCCACATAGACCACAGGACAGGTGTGGGACAGCTTTGGGCGCGCCTGGAGGAAGGCCTGGCAGAAGTCTCCAACCTTCGGCGCCACATCAATGATGAAGACCGCTGCGACATTGTCCAGGGAGACACCCTTCAAGGACTTACAGAGGACTTCCTCCGCAGCCGGCACACCAAACTGACCATACTTCGCAGGGCCACTTACCGGGCGGGCATCGCAAGAGGTAGGCACAGCATCCTCACGCAAGTCATCCATCTCCTTCAAGTCCTGTAGAATGAAATTTGTAAAGACAGGATTTTTGTTTATCAGTTGTAAACTTACTACTTATAATTAATTACTACATGTTATTAGTCATTAGTCCCTAAAAGTCCTTCGCAGGCAGCTGCTTGACAGCATCTGCGCGTCCACACTTGCGAAGGTCACCATGGAAGAACATGTTCTTGGCAAGGTCAGGCACGAAACCAGGGAAGAGATACCGTCCAGGGTAGTTAAGCGGTCGGCCGTCTCTCTGGTCGCAACGATCCTCAAAGAGAAGCGAGAAGGAGTGATCCAGGTTCACACCTTGGCGGCTGAGCATGTTCATGGCTGCAGTTTCCTCCAGGAAAATCTTGCCCTTGTTCCAAGAGTACACAGGCCCAAACACAATGCCAGAGCTCTGGGGGCTATCATGGAAGGCCCACGCCAACAAGTTCACATGCTCGTTCTGACGATGGTCACGGAAGCAGCAAGGAGTGGTCCAGTTCAGGATGCAGAACGTGGGCGTTGCCGCATTTACATCACCTGTGCGCAGCTTGCGCAAGACATCCCTGCGGAAATCCAAGATTTCAGGGAGGAGCTGGTCACAGCCCTTCTCCTCCCATGCTAGGAACTTGACACAGGCACCGACGAAGTTTTCCACGGCCGTCTTGTTGGCAACGTGCGTTGCAAGGACATGCTCCTGGCGAGCATGCTCTCGAGCATCCGAAATAGTTCGGCATTTGGCCTGCCAAATCTGAAACACCTGGGTGTCATACTGCAATTTCTTGATCAAGTGGTCGAACTCATCCTGCTTCAGGGCATCCAGCAAGTTTGCCTCAGACGCCGAGGACACAGGGGCCGTTGTGAGGTGCTGATCCAGCAAGGCCTTGAAGCATGGCATGTTGGCTGCAACCTCGAAGCTGTCAGCCTTGTCCAGCAGGGCTGCGTTCAGCTCCACATCAATGCGGTTGGACCTACAGGCCCACTCCTTGAGGATCTTCTCACGCAGCACATCCTCTGGCACAGGATGAAAGGCACGGAACTCATTGATCATGGCTGTCAAAGCAGCAGCCTTCTCAGCAAGAGCCTCCAGATGCTGCACATCCAGCTTTCTGCGGGCATAGTCAGCCGCAGTTTCCTGCATGTACTGTGCTCGGTGGGCCATCGTGATCATGGACAGCTCGGTCACCTTCAAGCGGTGCTGCCAGCGTCGGGACTTGGAGGGAAACTGGTACCCCACATAGATGCGCTTGCTGGCAAGGGAATCCTCGCTGTACACGCAATGGTCCCACCCCAACGTGTTGACATGCAGCAAGATCAAGTCCAGGATATCCTGGCAAAAAATAATTTAGGATCCTCAGACCCAATGTCAAGTAGTAAAAAATAGGAAACATGAAACTCGCACCTCAGAGGCATGCTCAAAGAGCAGCTTGAGCGACTGGGACTTGCGGCCAGCCAGCTGGTGTGTTCTCGCACAGCTCGAGTTCCAGCGCTGAACAAACTTGCTGTAGGTCTCCCCTTCCACTCGAAGGCGGCGGATCATCTCACAAATCTGCACCACGTTGCAGGCTTTGCGGAGAGTGCCTCGAAGGGAAAGCTTCATGTTCAGCAAAGCCTCGTCGCTGCGGCTGCCTTCCTGGATCCTCTGCACCCAAATCAAAGAGACCGTCTCATGAAACTTTGGGGCTTCCTTTAGGAGAACATCCACAGAAACCTTCATCTCATGCATGATCGACAGGAGGGCAAGCAAGGAAACCGCTCGGGCCTGGCCCTTCACGTAGCCCACACTGAAGGCCTTCAGCTCGCCACCCCAAGGACCAGGGAGTGGATCGCAGAGGAGGGCATCTGGCTGCGACACAAGCAAGACTTCCCCAGAAGTGATGAAGCCATCAGCCAGGTAGTGATCCACAAGCTGCAGAGTGAGGTCACGGCCCGGCGCTGGCTTCACAGAAGCTGCTTGCTCAAAGGCCAAGGTTGAGACATGCACTGCCAGCGGCAAGGTAGTGGACAAATCAGCATGCTTGGTGGCCGGCAGCTGCTCTGTATAACAATACAGCGCAGAGTCCTTCTCTGGAAAGGTATCCCAGAGCCACTGCAGGAAGTCACGCACATTCTGGGTCCACTTCCCCAACCCCCCCGCAGAGGGGCAGCCAAGGCGATGCTCCAAGTACCGCTGTGGAGTGCCCCACTCCTTCAGCTGCTTCTCAAGCTCTGCCCGGCATTCAGCCGCAAACGTCTCACCCTGCATCTCACACACCTCTGAAACCGCATCCACATCCATCAGCGTGTCACTCATGCTGGGCCAGAGCAACTCAACCCACAAAAAGGAATGCCAGGGAGGGCCTGTAGGCGCTAGCAAAACTCGCTTGGAGGCAAAAAATTGCAAGGAACAACACATGAAGTCAATGGTTTACAACACAGTCATGCAAGTGCACTACCATGCATGAATGGAAGGTAAGTCTGAGCATGGACATGTTTCAAGAATTCCTGACTGGCATGGCAACAAAAAACCAACACTCATCTAGAGACAGCGCAGCATTGTCATGCATGTAAAAAAAACTGCTAGGCGGCAATGACTAACCCCATTGAGTACTAAACCCGGATAGTCTATAAGAGCGCAAGGCGCTTCTTAATTTTTTCTTCCTACACTACTGGAAGCATATTGTTATAATATTATAATAATCCCAAATGATTCACTGCCAGAAAATCTACAAACAAGCACAGACTTGTGGGCATTCTTGGGCATGGATTTTGCAAAAGCAATCAAGGCAGTACAGATAGCATGTCTTGAATAAATAGTTGCCAGCTGAACTACAGGAACCCAGCAGGAACACACACACACACACTCACAAGGGAACAGTAATGGCTAGAAGACTGCTTTGCACTGGCTGGGAAACTCCAAACCGAATTATGAAGATGACTAATTTTGGGGCAAGACTTCAAATACACTCACGCTAACCTACAACGGCAGGTGGAAACTGCAATTAAAAACCACTGCTGCCAGTCACTTTTTTCAGGCACTGACTGCGCAGTCAGTACGGAAACTTGCCGTAAGCCACATCGTAGAGGAAACGGTAGCGACCACCACGTTCCCTGCGCTGCCGGGGGCCAGGCTGAGTCGGCACTTGAAAGCCCGGCCTGGGGCCCACAACCAGAGGACCAGCAGTCTTCGGAGCAGCTGGCACTGGGACGGGTCCAGGTACGGCAGGAGCCACAGTCGCAGCAGCCGAGCCAGAAGCCTGGGCCACAGTCGCAGCCGAGCCAGAAGCCTGGGCCACAGTCGCTGCAGCCGAGCCAGAAGCTGCAGCAGCAGTTTCCTCCACAGCAGCTTGCTGGGTTTCTGCAGGCTTGTCCACAGCAGACTCCACGCGCGGAGACACGACAGCTGAGGCTCTGTCCGAGCCTCTTCAGCACTCAGAGGCAGGCGGCGAAACTTGCTGTCCCGGAGCCCTGCCTTCATCCCCAGGTAAATTTGCACCTTCATTCCAGCCGTCTCGCGGGGACAACTGTCACTGCGCTCGCTGTCACCAGTGTCGCTGCCGCTGCTGCTGGACGAGGTCGACATGACAAGAGAGGAGCAGAAGCTAGTACCTTACATGCAGAACAATGGGCATGACACCCGAGGGGTTAATCTCTTATAGAGGACTGTGCAAAAGCTAGTGAGTTATCATGATAAGTCACATGAATTTTGATCCTACTCAACTGCTACCATTCAACTGGACTTGTGGCTGGATTGCAGCTGCAGCACCAGAAACAAGTTTACTCAACATGCTGCAGGGCTTGCACGTCATGCACAAGAAGAAGCAGAATGGCTCTTCTCTTCTTCTTCTGTTCTAGTTTTGATTTGCGGGATAAGGAAATCAAAATGTCCGAAATTCCTTGGCAACTGTGCGATCTCCTCTCGGTTTTTCGCGCCCTCGACTTCCGTGGTTTTCCACGGAAAACTCGCGAACTCCTTGGGTTGGGGAGAAATCCTGCGAAGTCACCCCTGCGATTTGCGGGCTGGAGTTTCGCGAGCGATCCTCCAAAACAGCCGATATGCGTGGTTTTCCACGGAAAACTCGCGAACTCAGCGTCGTAAATCGCGGATCCGACTTCCGGGGTTTGTCACCCACCCACCATCTACGATTTGCGGGAATTTGGCGCCATTTTCGAGATGCGGAGTTTTGCCGACTAGGGGTAATTCGTACGAGTTGCGGAATGGACAATTTCTAACACTAATAGTAAGTAAGAATTACCTGTACTTTCAAGGCCAGGCAGCAAAAAGAATCTAATCAGAATTGGCACCTTTGTGTCCAACATCTCCTGCTGGCTGTCCTCTCTCTCTCTCTCTCTCCCCATTTTGGGGCTCAGGTCCTAAGGTTGGCAGTTGAGGTCCAAAGCTTTCAGGTTTCGGGCTGAGGGTGTCAAGGATCTAGGGTTAAGGGTCGGGGTCATCCTACTTGCCTTGAAGTACCCATACTGTCCAGGGGCATGGGAAGACTTCTGAAAGTAACAGTCAAAAGGCCTTTCAAGCTTGGTACTCACCCATGAAGCCTCATTTCCTGCTCAACACAACCCAGACAGTGGCTCTGTAATCAAATTATAAGGACATCACCCCTAAGTAATGATAGCCCAATCTTATAAGGTTGTCTTCAGGACTTACAGCGCAAGGCGCTCCTAACAAAACTTCAGGGAGACTACGTTACAGCGCTAGGCGCTCCTAAGTCCTAGATAATAAAGAAAATTTAACCACAGAGCCACTGTCTGAAGACCAAGAACTGCGAGCCGACAGGTTTCATTTTTGCGCTCAGCAGCACATCCAGAGTCATCTCCCGCCCTTGCGGGAGATGCTGGAAAAACGCAGGAGAAACCAATCACTCCCTTCAGAGACAAGCGGTCCCCCAAGCTTTACACCTATCACTCCTCATCTGAGCTGCTGGAGCTTTCAGAATCAGAGGACTCCTCATCCGAATCCGTCAAGCATAGGATCGAGCAGACCTCACACAAATGCCTGCGACCACCACGCTTCTTCTGCTTGCCACCAGGGTCACGGCGAGGTGTTCGCGACCTTTCTCCTTGCCGAGTCGCCACAGGCGTCTGGCGCAGGCAAGCAGCTCCACAGGTGCTGCTTGCTGTGGCGACGCCAAGCCCCCCAGGCGAGCAGCTCCAGGCCCAGGCAGCGCCACACGCGCCACTTGCTTTGGCAGCAGTGTCACAGGTGCCACTCGCTGCGGCAGCACAAGCTCCCAACCACCCCAGCACTGTTGCTTGGGCCCAAAGACGTGTTCGGGGCCACAAATCAGACTGGCGGAGGCGTCAGTGCCTGGGGAAACACTCGAAAGGAGTAAAGACGCCGTCTGGCAAGCTCCTCAGGGTCAAGCAGGACAGCGGGTGGCCACATGGCGCCAAAGCGGACAACCGAAGCTTACTACTCAGCAAAAAAAATGATTGCTGACTGCAGGCTGAAACTCCTTACCAAGCGGCCAGCTGTAACTTCTGGGGAGCACTGGCTTCATTTTCACCTTGTCCACATGCAAGAAGGACATGTTCATGCTGCAGTTGACAGACTTCTCTACAGCCCGCTTACTTGGAGCCAGTGCAGCTACAGTCACAACAATACATCTCTGGCTGCAAGAGAGAAGCCTGCTGTAAAAGTCAGCGCTATGCGCTCTTATACTTTGCTGACTGAATAGTAGCTACTAGTAATAATAGCACTCACAGACATAACTTCATGAACAAAGCTCGGAGATTTGCATGAGCAATAATTCTGCATTGCAGCCACGAAACATGCTGAACTTGGTTGTGATTGCCATCGTGCGTTCATAAAAACAGCAGTTACTGGAGTTACTCCCCCACACAGTATTATTATCATTATTAACACCATGAACGACCCACTACAGACTAGGGCTGGCAGAACGCAAAGAACACTTCCCACTGACAAGTATAGAACATGACGTCATTTTTAGGCCCTCATCGATCCAAGGATCTGAGTTGCAAAGCTCGCAGCTGGTAAGGCAGCAGCAGCCACACGAATTTACATCCGAGCACTCATGCCCTCAGTGATTTAAAACGCACCGGCACAAGTGGGCTACCATGGGCCCAGGATATACCTGAGCCCAAGTGGATCTACGGACTCCGCCTTCACTGCCTATTATTTCTTGATGTTCATGATTGCTGCAGCACTGGTACTGCAAAAAAGATTCCGCGGTGGCACGACAATTTGTCATTATACGTGTCCGCTTCCTTTGAGGAACGCGGTGTACCTTGCTGACAAGGCCAAGCATACATAAATCGAAGTCTGCAGTGTAGACGTCGCCGCGGGACCTCAATGCTTGTACCGATGGCTGTTGCCACGAAGATGCTCGGGCTGGATGTTCAAATATAAATTTGTTGCCTCGTCGCAGCTGCGCCCACGCACAGTTCATGGAGTGGTCCAAGAAGACCATGCCCTTCGCAAACTTTGCCTCCCACTGCTCCTTTCTCATCTTCTTGATGTTAAAGAGTCGCTGCAGCTCAGAAAACACCGTGCAGGGTGGGCTCAGGATGAGCCACCGGATTTCCAACTCTTGCAGGAGGCGCAAGGAGAAATGGCGGTTCGCAGCCAGAGAAAAGTCCCAACCATTCAGAACATCCAGACTGATATTGAAGTTCCCTGCAGCACCTGGGGCTTCCACTCGACACTTTGGCAGCACTCGAGGCGGTGAGGAGTACTCAGCTACAAACTCATTCCTGGAGGCTTTGAAGAAAGGGAGGAAGGAGGCCGGGGAAGGCACATCTGCACAAACTGTTTCTCCACCTGCAGGAAAAGCCAGGCCTGCCTCATCTTCAGAATAATCGTCAGTCTCCGGGCAGTCAGGCGGCAGGCTGACGAAACTAACCACACTCATGGCAGAACCAGGCATGGAGCTGCAAACGCTTGGCGGGAGCTCCACACTTCCTGACTCGCTTGCACCATCCAGAGACGCTGCCATATTCAGCACAGACAGCAGATCGGAGGGGCCCTCATCTGCAAACGAAGACGCAGAGGGCGGCAGGGAAACATCATCATCAGGATCCATCATTGTCAGAAGCCACCTGCTCTAAGAGGGGCTCCGCAGAACTGAGCCGAGTCAGTAGCAGGCAGCCGAAAGTATGGCTGTAAATGTTAGGGGTTTTAGTAGAGCGCCTGGCGCTGTAAGTATAAGTTTGTAAACATTAATGATAGTTTGAACCAAGTAGTAATAAGCAAGTAGGCACCTGTGAGGGATTGGCTTTACCACATGGATCTCACAAACTGCTTCATGTGCATCAGCTGCTCCCAGACAGACTGCAATT